CATCTGTTATAATTATGAATTGAATATATGAACAAATTAATGAATAATTGAATCAATAAACAAAAATTACCTTCGTCTCTATTTACGATATTCTCCAATTCACCTCCATTATCATCATCATCATTATCATTATCATTGTTATTATCATTATCATCATCGTCGTCGTTATTATTATCAACGAATCTAATATCAGAATCATGTCGAAATTCGGATTGATACGCTATTAAAATTTGCTCAATAAATTCTCTAGTTCTTCAATTTCGATCACTCTTAATTTCTCTTTGTAAAATTCTCTCTCTAAAATATTCGAATGCTGAAATAATGGAGATATTTTAATTATGGAACCTAATAAAATGGAAATGATTAAGCTAAATCCCTTGAATTAAGGAATGAATTGATTTGATTTATTTTTTTTATTTTAAATTTTGATCACAAGATCTGGAAAAGAGCACAAAACACAGCGTTTTGTACCGGGTGCACCATGCACATAATGCACCCGAGTATACTATCCTATATTCATACCATATTGAAGTCAACAATTTATTAAAGTAAGTGGTTTGTGAACAGTTTGGTTTGTAAGCGTTCGGTTTGTAAACAATTCGGTTTAAATGGGTTGCATATTGATACAATTTCGGTTTAAACAGTTTTTTACTCGTTCAAAGGTTTCGAGTTAGAAACGGTTTCGATTAACAATAGTTCGGTTCGGTTCGGTTTTATTTCTATTGGTTTGTAAACGGTTCAATTTGTTAATAGGGTTTGATTCTTATATGGTTTAACATTATTCGGATCGGTTCGATTTTGATTTTACTAAAAAATTGGTTCAGGTTAGTTTTTGGTTTTAAATAATCGATTTTAATTGGTTTGGTTTTCATTTGGGTTGGTCGGTTTCGGATAGTTAAATGGTTTCGATTTGAAATATGACAGTGTGTATTTGGTATTCCTATTAGTTTTAGATTCGGGTCATGGCCATACTTAAAGAAAGGAGATGAGGACTAAATGGCATTACCAAGAGAGATTTTCTCAATAGTTATAAGGAGATTATCATGTCTTGTGATTCACCTGCGTTCCGTTATTACCTCACTGTTTGATTGAGTTGATGGTTGAGGCCTAAAAATATGTTCTCACACGAGAGCCCGTTGGGTTTGAAGTGTAGATGCAGCATGGACCCTTCTCATACCCTACGCTTAATATTCCACTTTGAAAGGAAGGGTGGATGAGATTCGAACCCGTAACCTTTGTGTCACACTGGCTCTTGATACCATGTTAAAAGACCAACTCAACCAAAAGGTTAAGTTTAGCTTAAGCTTATAATTGAGGCCCAGGAATATGTTTTATACTCTATCACTGAGCTGTGTTTTGCTCTGTGATGTTGCTTATCGGAATACAAGATGTACTGGATCTCTAACTCGTTTATCAAAGAATGCAAGTCTTGAATTTAAATAGTGAAGTAAAATTAGAATATTTTCGGTTGTAAATTTGTAGTGGAAGATCCAATAATTTAAAATGTTGTAATGGTTCATTAATTGAAATATTGTACTAGTGATTAATATGCAATACAAATCTTAAATTTGTTTTATTTTATAATGTGTTTTTTCCCTTAACACTAGAAATTTTTATTTAGTGACTATCCTCAATTTATATGAAAGTATTAATTATTATGTACGAATTTATTTTTTTTGTTGTAAAATTCCCGATACTTTTTTGTGTAGATATTTGGCGCAAAAGAACAATTCTATGTAATAGTAGACCTGACAAACGGGTCACTCGGGTCGGGTCAATTTCGGGTTAATAAAGAATCGAGTTGAGTACAGGTCGAGCCAATTGATAATTGGGTCGGGTTGGGTATTGGATCAACACTTCAGGTTAATTTTGGTCGGTTCGTTCTAGGTTGGTTCAATTTTTAGGTCCAATTTTTTAGTCAATGCAAGTTTGGGTCGGGTTATATTCGAGTCATTCTATTTTAGGTCGATACTTTGGGTCAAGCTCAAATCATTATATTGATTACGAAGTATTATTATTATCATTCTTGGCATACTATGTTAACTTACTTTAAATAATCAAGGAAATAGACAAACTTGCGTATCTAAATAATATTACATGTGTAAAGATAAATAAATCTTTTGGAGGTGTTGATCATTGACATATGTTATATTGCTAATTCCCAGTATTCTCCCCATTATTTCCTGCGAAATAAAGATTTAAAATATCTTGGAATTTGGAATGATTAACAGTGTTTTATTGAATGACAAAGGAAATTGATTTGCTAGAACAAGTTTGGTCATTTTGGGTATCAATTATTTTTGGTTTGGGTGATTTTGAAGTAAAAGGTAATTATATTCGGGTCATTTCGAGTATCACATCTATTTGGGTCAATCAATTTGGGTTAAAATGGGTCGGGTCAAGTCGGGTATCGGGTCACTTCGGATTAGGTTACTTTGGGTATTGGGTCAATTTCAGGTCGAGTATGGCCTGGGTCGGTCGACTAAGTTTTGGGTTTGGGTTAATTTCGGGTCGATGATTTTGGGTCATTTTTTGGGTCACGAGTTGGGTCATTCGGGTCGAATCAGTATTGTCAGGTCTAGTAATAAGGGAACGAAATATATATGTTACTCATAAAAGGGTCGGGTCAAGATTGCAAACTGTTACACCCACATTTAAAATTTCGTTGACTTTCATTGACTTTGAATTGTTAAGGGAAATTAACCAAAGGGCTGATCTAACGTAGGGTTTTTGACTTCTAGGTATTAGATGATCAGACGCTGAATAGACCATGACCATCATCACAAATGGACGTTGAATGCAACATCAGGCCAATTAAACAAGCCCAAAGTTAAGAAAGGAACAACCTTTGTTCTGTTAGAGTTGAATTCAAACAAAACTATTGGCGACAAGAAGAAGGAACCAAGATATCATGGGCAGATTTTCAAAAGATTTGTTGCCTATAAATAGAAGAAGGATCTTAGAAGGAAAGGACATCAACGAATCAACCAACAAAAGCATTTTATTTTATTTAAACTTTCTTAGCCAATCGATAGTTTAGATTACTTAGCATATATTAAAGATCGTCCGATTGTTCCAATTGTATGAATATGAAGGTAATTTTTCCTTCTTATAATGTAACTGTAGTCCTGACTTTATACTTCAATTAATGAAAAGCGTTTGCATCTTTTGTTAATGTTAATCTATTCGGTTTTTTTTTTTTTTTTTTTTTTTTTTTTTTTTTTTTTTGTGTTATGTTAGCGAGATTATCAATTTAACTAGTAACAGTATGGGCATCCCTTTAATATCCTAGAATAAGATAGAATATTTGACTTGTAAGTAAAAAACAATATTTACCTCAACAACATTGCAGATTTCACATTGCCCGAACTAGTTTTCAAAGTTTTTTATCAAATTTATGACAAGTGAAAGCATCGAGATTCTCGAAGCTAAAATGTGTCGAGAACTCGATTCACTTTTTCCGACGCTTTCTGCGCCTCTGGTAATTCTTTCTCCACCTTTTTGATCTTCTTTTTAATACTCACGAAAGTATCAGCCACCTTGGCAAGTCTCTAGCACAGCTTGCTATTCGGTGTTGTGGTTCGGGTGATCGGGTCCTTCACTCCAATTCCGAGCCTTGGACACTACATTCCCACACTCATCCCTTGACAGCCACATTGCTTCAAACTGAAACAAAATTTCCTTCTCTATTTCAATGTAGTTTTACGCCTCAAGCAAGATCAAGGCATGATCAAAACTATCCATTGGGAAATGTTGCACCGTGAAATTTAACATTCAATTGCACCAACTATACTCTACCAAAAATCTGTCTAATCTCTCACATGACTAATTGTCTCCGGGCTCTTTCCTCTTTGCCATGTAAAAATACATCTTTCATACCCCAAGTCTCTCATAACACGGATCTATCAGCCCTCGAAAAGCATCCATTAAATTATTGTCTTTTTTCTTTTCTTTCTTTTTTTTTTTTTTTTTAATTTTTTTAAATATCTATTTATGCAACTTTTTTCCACTTATTTGAAGAATAAGTTCCAATAAGGATTACTACCTCCGTTTTATATCAGTTGCAACTTTGGAATATTTTATATCTTACAAATAACACCCCAAAGTTGCAACTAATATGAAACGGAGGTAGTAATAAGGATTGACCAAGTTCAATTAAAAATAAACAAGCTAAGCTTAGATTAGATCTAATAATTTCCATATAAGTACAGATTAGTAAAAATCAAATTAATAAAACACACCCTAATTAACTTACCAGGTTTAACACAGTTCAACTTTGTTGACAAACATATAGTCCTTCCCCGTTGGTTTGAATTTTTTTTTTTAATAGGTGATAAAATTATTTGTTCACCTCTCTCGTCCCTCTCTTTCCATCTTTTCCCCTTTGTTCTACCCTAAGTTAAACCTTCTTATTTCAGGTAATTTGAATCTTTCCTAAAAAAAAAACAACTTCCATCAATATCACCTTTCGATTTCATTTCAACTTCTTTTTTATCAATTTCCAAACCCATCTTATTCATTATATTTTTTAAAAAATTGTCTTTCATTTCTTTTTCTTTGTTCACATAAACAAACAAAACCTATTTTTAAGGCTAAAATCTTGCATCTTACTAGCAAAAAAAACTACTTTCGTTTTAGAAAATAGTCTAAACCTTTTGAATAACCTTTTTTTATTTTTTTTTCAGAGTTGAACAATATCATTAAATTATTCATATCGTTGTCAAAAAAAAAAAAAAATTTATTCATACTTTACTGTCATGGATGTTTGGATGAACTTAAATATAGTAGAAGCCATATATAGATTGAGGTAAAGGTAATTATATAATAATCTCATACTATCATTCCCAAAAACTCGTGAAAAATACATTAAAGAATCAACAAGCACCATTACCTAGCTATAACTACATACAAGTATACGCTAACTTTGACAATTGCTAACCAATTGAAAAAATAAAATTGAAAATAAAAAATAAAGAAGATAATAGTAATTAAGTTGCTAACTAGTAAGGTAGAATACTATTGTTCCTCAAAGTACCTCCTTGCCCTGCCCTTGAACCATGCAACGACCGCGATCCCATGCTAGACATATAATTATTGTAACGCCTAATAGATGATGGTGCTTGATATAATCTACTCAGTAAGAACTCAATTTTTGACAAAGAAGGATTATTACAAGAACTATTATTATTAGGTAATAATGAAGATGAAGAAGTAGTAGTTGTTTGTTCCCTTGTATCGATTACTACAGAACATTCATCCATAGATAATGATCGCCGTAAACCGAACTTAACCAAGTCTCGCGGCCCTAATCCTTGTATAGGAAGGGTCATTTTCGTCGAATGACATAGTCTCCCGCCTGATCTTGTCCTAGGAAGACCACGACGACATCCACCACCACTAGGTCCGCAACCATCAACTCCTCCTCTACCACTAGAAGCCGTACCACGTACAAGTGATCGACAAATTGGGCAATTTATATGAGCATGGAACCAATTATCGATACATGATACATGAAATACGTGACCACAGTTAGGGAGCCAACGGATCAAGTCCCCTTTAACAAGTTGTCCAAGGCATATAACACATTGATCATCTTGGTTGATTCGATACATGTCACGTGTTTTCGACGAGTAGAATAAAATAGGGATGGTGTTGAGTACACGATCGTTGAGCCCTATCGTAGTTGAAGGTTCATTGGACAAGGTTTGAGCTCTTTGATGTCTTCTTTTGCAAAATTTGATGAACATTATATGAAGAAGTGAAAGTGCTACGGATGTTGTGATTATAGCACCTAAAGAAATCACTAATATTGGAAGATAATTATTTTTAGAGGTTTTTTTTTGGATTGAAGAGGTTATATCTTCCATAGCTTAATTAATCATTGATTAATTTTGGTTCAAGAGTTTAATTAATTCACTAAATTGAATTTGTTTTTGGGAGTTTGAAGAAGTAAAAAGTTAGGTTTGTATTTTGAGTGGAAGAGCAAATGTGAGATTTATAGGAGTTGGTTGTTGCGCACAAAAATGAGGTTTTATAGGAGGATGACCCTACTTACTTTTACTTTTGTTTGTTGTGGAAAACATTTGTATTGCATTATCAAGGGTTTATTCCTTTTTTGGGACCCTTTTCTTTTATTTTGATTTTTTTTTTTCTTTTTCGTTCATGAAATTGACAGTTTCTTTTTTTTACGCTCCATTTTCTTTGTTTCTAGTTTTGAACGAATATATAAGTGCACATAGTTATAGAGTTTAGTGGTAGAGAAATCGTGATTGATTTATATTTTTTCATTTAAAAAAAAATTATTGATGTGATTGGCGAAGCTCAAGGAAGTTTCCCTTAAAATAAGAAAGCTCAAGGAAGTTAGGTATTAATTTTAATTATTTTGTTATACTAATTAAAATAAAAATATGTAAATGAAATATTGAGTCCAAATCAAAATGATATAAAATTAAGGTTTATGATTTAAAACTAGACCATTAGATTCGATGAAACTCGAGAATATGAATAATAACTTAATAATCTTGAAATTTACTTAAAGCTAGAAAGCCTAGAATGTAATTGTTCATTAGCACGGGATATAAGAAAGATATTTGATACTCATCATGGGAAAATTATTGGTATAAATAGTTATTGGGTTATTTTAAATACAAGGTGAATAATATATTAATTACTTAGATTAGTCTCGTGGAGTTTCATACTAAAATTAAAAACAAAAAATAAATAAATTGTGAAACAAATAATACATCAAATATTAAAAAAAAATAAAAATAGAGTTCATAAAAAAATTGAATGATGAAAAAAATACTCGTGGAAATAAATTTAAATTATTATTATTAGAGAGAATAGATCGTTATTCGAAAATTGATACTAATAATAATATAGCTGACTAGAATTTTAATAATATAAAATAAAAATCATAAAATGATGACATCATTTATAGTTTTGGAGGGAAAATTTTCAATGACATTATGATTTTTGTCTAATTTTAAGATATGATGATGTCAGTGGTTGCTTTTTTAGTATTAGTTATACATTAAAAAATTTCTATTTAACAAATGCATTATATCAAATAAATTATTGGTATAGGTTTTTTTTTAATTAAAAAAAACCGCATTTTTTGTGTGGTTGGCCACACTTTGTGGTCAGCTGACACACACCAAAATACTGACTGGGTAGCCCCTGACTGATTGAGTACCTTTTGATCGATTAACTCATGACCGATCGAGTAACCCCTACCAGTCGAGTAACTGTTGACTAAGTAATCCTTGATCGAATAACCCTGATCGACTAATTAGTAACTCCTTAACCAAGTAACCCTGACCTTATGGTGTGACCAGCCACATATGAAACTTTATGTTGAAACTATGTAAGATGAGTTAATCATGCAATAGTTATTGTGAAAATTTCTTTCATAACACTGAAAATTAGTCCCTATTAACTTTTTATTTTATTTTTTTATTTTTTATTTTTTATTTTATCATCATCATCATCTTGTTTTTTGTTTTTCTAGAAATCTTTACACGTTGAAAGTCCCTCACAAGTGTATCAAATATTTGGCACCTCCATACTAATGAATGTAATGACAAATCCAATTTTAGTTCAAAGTGGAGTTTACATTACCATTTTCATACATCCCAAATAAGAAAACTTATATTGACTTTTGACTATCATATATTACGACATACGTAGATCGTTGTACACTTGTACTGTACCATTTTTTTTTTTTTTATTTTTAATTTTTTTTTTGTTTTAATTAGTCTGAAAAAAAAGTGTCAAGAACTAAATTGACTTGAAAGTAATCCCATTCAAATTTAAAAATCTATAGGTACATTGATTTTGGGAGGGTCTGTTCTATTCATTTTAACTAGAATGTGTTATAATTAAGGATAGGATTAAAAAGATTACAAAGTATATAGATGTAGACAGTCTTTAATAAAACCAAAAATAGTAACAAAAAAAAAAAAAAAACTTGATTACAAATAAAAAAACCAAGTCTTGATTCCCTAAAAAAATAACTCTTGAAATATTATGCTGAATGAATCTAATTCTTTAATTTGATTATTCGCGTATCTCTTGTTTCAGATAGTAGAATTCTTCCTCCCATCTTACTTGTAAAACAGATGCAACTATGATATCATCATTTCCTATCTCGGGAACATATAGTATGAAAGTGAATGTATTCATAAAACGTTCACTCAGATAATCCTCTAAAAAGTAGTCTCCAAATTCCTGATCATAAATAACATATTTAGGCATTATGCAGGTGTGTAATTCCTTAATATATGATTAAAGGGTATAATTACGTTATTTGTCATCGCTTGAATACTTGATATTGGACAACCGATAATCATCTTAGCATAATGGCCAAAGAATATAATATATTATGTATTTGTAGTGTCACCAATTTTTACATTAATTCTATATCTGTTATTATTGATATGATATAATTAGGTATAATGATGGGTAAAGCTGGTTATAATAATTTTTTTAAATAAAATAAAAAAAAGTGAAAATACCTTGGCCTACTAAAGGAGGGGTCACACTCCATGCACATATCAGCTCTCCTTGAGTGTCGAGCACATGATTCATACCAAATAGGCATAGAAGAATCAATGGATAACGCTTTTGCTAGTACTCGAAAGTATTTTACCTAAAAGAACACATCAAATATTAAATACCTTATAAGAAAATGTCAAACAAAATAATGGTTGACATACATACATTATGAGCCGCTAAAAACTAATTTAACTTGATCCTTTTAGCATTAAACACCATCTCCATTTGAGAGATACTATTGGCTAATATCTGACTCCAGCTGATATGTTTTTGGACATGTCCATCATCCGCATACCTATATGAGTTATATAAATACATAAGTATGCAACATAAACTTATAGTGTTGATTATGATGTTTTTAGGCTTACCATCCATGTAGATCATCAGTTTCATCAATATGAGGATCAATAAAAAGCCTGGTACATCCAACAGTCGAAAGACATGCATCTATTGGAAGGTTAATAAAAGTATTTAAAGTAATGATAATAAAGTAAATGACACCATAGTCTTTCTATGGTTATCTAATTTAAAAAATATTTTACCATAATAGGAGCCAACTGATACCATGGATGCACCCAATACATGATCCTGATTAAGCTTATGGAATAAGAAATGACCTTGATCATGAGCAAACCCTTCCTATAAAATTAGTCTCATTGTTTCCATGCTGTAAATCAAAGTATTGTTTTGATTTTATATAAAAAAAACCTTAACATTGCATAAGCTGTTATAATTACATAAACATATGGAAAATTGTGTAATATGCTTTTACTTTGTGTTGCAGAGCAACACATCTCTTTTGAATTGTTGTCTCCCACCTGAGACTCTATATGATTCAGACACATAGATAACCAATCCAATAACATCTGTGTACATTCATCACATTACTACAAAATATGCCTTAGAGACCTGTTAAAATAGGCATAAGAGACCTCTTCTTTGGAGGTCTCTAGCTCATAAGTCTCTTAACCTAAGAGACCTGGTCAATAGAACAGGTCTCTTTGGTATTAATAAGAGACCTAAGAAGTGAGACAACAGGTCTCTTTGCGCGTGATTATTTTATATATTTTAGAAAGCAAAGAGACTTGTTACCATGGCCAACAGGTCTCATAGTTGTTATTTAAGAGACCTGTTAGTAACGATAACAGGTTTCTTTGTTATTTTTTTTTTTAATTTTTTTCCCAAAATCCAATTATATTTGTATTTGTTCATGTATGGTATATGAGCTGTATTTGTTCCTGTATGGCACCTGTAGGATATTTGTACCTATATTTTTCACCTGCTATATATATGCACATCATATACATTACTCCATAATTTTATAATATTCATGGAACATACAATAATAAACAAAAGTTGATAAACACTTTTACAAATATCCATCAATTATAGTATAACCTCCAAAAATACTATACAGCAACATCTGCAAAAAAAAAAAATCCAGTATTCCCCAAAAATATAAACCACTCATTTAATTTCCATGCCATCTAAGATAAGCTCCAAAAGTACTATACAAAAAATTCTAAAAATCGTAATACTTTCCCAAAAGTAATGGACAAACTAAACTCACGCAATGTCTATACCATCTTCATTTCCTTCATTAACATCATCTTGTTCAAGCTCTAGAACATACTTAGCCCACAAGTCTCTAATTTCGTCAATATTTTCAGTTGAATATGTACAGGGGTCCGCTTTAAAAAACTGCAAGATAAACAATAAATCGCCGTATATAGTCATAACTCATTGATAATAATAATGGAAGATAATGCTATATTATAACTATATTAAAAAAAAAATTACACATACAAACAAATGAATATAATGATATGGGTTGAAATATGCAACGTCATGATTAAAATGAGCCATTTGGGGGTAAATTTTTAGCAGCACCTGTACAAACATTCAAAGATTTTAGATATTCAAAAAGGAGATGTTTAGATAAGTACCTATATATTATTGTTGTATACAATGTTAACACGCACATATACCGAATTAAAAAACTTGATAAGCAATACAAATTTTCATTATCTAGCACATGATCTAAAATCACATTCCA